ATACACATTCATTCATTCAACCTTTATTTATACACATTCATTCATTCATTCAACCTTTATTCATACAGATTCATTCATGCAACCTTTTTTTATACAGATTCATTCATTCAACCTTTATTTATACAGATTCATTCATTCAACCTTTATTTATACAGATTCATTCATTCAACCTTTATTTATACACATTCATTCATTCAACACGTTCGCCCCCACAACTGGGAGAAGAGAGTCCGGGACCGGAACTCTCGCCCGTAAACTGATGCCCAGATGGACTGGACCCCATCTGATAACAGACAAACTGTCTCCAGTTGTCTATCAGATAAAAATCAGTAAAGGCCAAAAAGAGCCAACTGTTAAATGGGTACATCGTAACCAGGTTAAACCACACAAGGTGTGCAAAGAAACAAACAAACGGGACAGCGTGACTGAATCTGACAACCAGGGTGAGGTGAAGCAGTGAAACGATGTTTCTAGTTGCTTAGTCACTACTCTTGTCGATGTTGAAACGTTGTTTAATTGGTTTTGGTTTTGTTTCTGAGGTAAGAATGAATTTTGTGTGTAGTTGAGTTAGAGACTAAGAGGCCTTTAACCATGCCAACATGCAGTTCATTCGTTAAATTGCAATCTTTTCGGAAGTCAATGTAGATTAATGCTACCTTAAGTACCATAATCTACATTGGTCTCACAACGCTTAAGCCCAACCTACTCGAACAATTCTATTCGGGGGGATAGCTAATTCTTTTTGATGAGTCTCGCCATAGACTTCCAAAACATTTATGGGGAAACCAAACACCCAATCTCAAGTCGTTCGTCTAAAGACAACAGACAATTGAACCAAACTATATTTTACCATGTAAATCTAACTTAAACCAATTTAGGAATGGAAAAATAGTTTGGAACACGCTTCTATAGGTATAAATCCCTATAGTTACCCTTTTCAGCATGTTCCACCCCTTAACTGGTAGTTGTAGCTGTTCCCAACCATAATAGCTTACACACCAGGTGCATATAGTTTAAGGCCTTATGTAAAATCCCCTTCATAAGCCCACCTTAAACCACATAATTGCATGACACATTGAACCAGAACGGCACAGACTGGACGTTGCCCAGAGACGACCTTCGCTGGAGGAGACCTGCAATCCTGACGTTGGTCTCCACTCTTCAGCCAGTGGCCGCATCTTCAGTTCAATCCAAGGGAACCCCTTTGTATGCTGATCAATCAACACCTCCATTCGTTGTGGATTTACCGTTGTGGATTATATGACTTTTTCCAATGGATTACAGACTCTGTTTCCAAGGGGTTAAAGCATTGCTACAATGGAATTACCAACAACATTATGGAATTACCATCAACACAATGGAATTACCAAAAACATTGTGGGATTACATCCTTTGACTTTTGTTTTCCTTGCTGGATTACATCAAGACCAGGGACATTCGAAGGCGTAAGTTCATGTTGGAATTCATCCCCATGGACAGGCGATGATTTCCAAAGGGGGGACTGTAGTGAACTAAGCCTCAGGTCAAAATCTGGCCTTGAGGGCCTGCCTGGAACAAGAACTGTGTTTCGTTGATTTGAGTCCAGAAACACAAGATTAAGTCATCCAGAGACTTTCTAAGTGTCCTGCACTGATCAATTGAAAGAACACTCTTTTTCTATTATCATTACTATTTTACAAATGTTTGATAATCAAAGTGTGTTTAGTTCAAACCATTTTTAAATGTTGAAGTGAACTAATCATTTTTAATCAACTGTGAAACAGTATTAGTGATTTTTAATCCTCATGCAAAGTAGAAATCACGTTAAGGTCTGTTACAGAGTAATTATGCATTTTCTGATTTTCTGTCTTTGAATGAGCAGTGTAAGTTGGTCCAAGGTTGGAGTCAAACGCAAAACAAGTTGTTGGAACGAACTGTCATGTTTTTAAATCCTCTCAGACGTAAATATAGAGGCTGGCACCTGTTTTCCCCCAACTCGCCTAAATATTCCTCTCGTCTGTCTTTAAAACATTTTCAATCTGTTCCATAACATTCTTGCTGTTTTTCTGACTTCTAGTGACCTCTTATGTCACAAAAACACACCCCTGTCTGGTCGAAACGACCAATCAGGAACCTCCCAAATGAACCGGAAATAGAACTCTTTAAATGTCGGTACTTCCTAGTTCAAACCAGTCGCTTCAGGCTCCTGCTTCAGTCGTTTGCAGCTCCAGTGCTGGGAGAACAGAAGTCCAGGCATGATCCAGAGCTCTTCGGAGTCTTGTGGGGATTATGACATCTTCCACCTCTGACGGACTTCACTCATGTGAGTCCACCAAGAGGTGAACTTGTGTCGAACAAGTACCGTCACTACTTCGGACGATTCACAGCTGTTCCTACGGAGACGCTGAAAGGGTGCGTTAAATGGAACTTCGTACCAGTGGAGACATCTCCAGGTAAAGAGTTGATTTATACCACCTAAGTGTACCGGGGAAGAAGCTGGGAACTCACCGGAGAGTGCCGTTCTGATGCCGACACACACATTTCCCTCATCCATCCTTTCTCTCAACTTAAACTTCATTTCCATCTTTAAACTCTTCTATCTGCTAGAAATTATTCCAGATATTTTTAGAAATGTCTGTTGTACAGCTGGAAGCAAGGGAAACAATCGCCGAATTGTTTCCTCCTTGTAAAACTTGCTAAATTAGCCATGTTGTTATTTTTCAATTTGCCAATTATTGTAAATGTGTGATGTTAAACTTTGATTCTGTAAATAAATGACCGCATTCATTTTGATGGGTCAAAGATAAACACGTTTCCGTCCACATTTAATAATTCAACACACGAAATTATTCAGTCCAGAAAAATGAAAGAATCCGTTTAATTTATGAATATATCACAGAATATGTTCATCTACACTTTATTTATACACATTCATTCATTCATTCAACCTTTATTTATACAGATTCATTCATTCATGCAACGTTTATTTATACAGATTCATTCATTCAACCTTTATTCATACAGATTCATTCATTCAACCTTTATTCATACAGATTCATTCATTCAACCTTTATTTATACAGATTTATTCATGCAACCTTTATTTATACAGATTCATTCATTCATTAAACCTTTATTTATACAGATTCTTTCATTCATTCAACCATTATTTATACAGATTCATTCATGCAACCTTTATTTATACAGATTCATTCATGCAACCTTTATTCATACAGATTCATTCATTCATTCAAACTTTATTTATACAGATTCATTCATTCATTCAACCATTATTTATACAG